GTCCACCCCAAAGAAACCCGACGACGGCTCCAACCCCGACCCAGACGATGATGGCAGATCTCACTTTATCCGCGGCACCACCATGCACCTCATCACCAGCACCGCCGTCTTCACCCTCGCCTCCCCCTTCCGCTCCACCACCATGTACATCACCAGCATGGACGCAACCGCCTACTACGAGGGCCACACTGCGGGCAAAATCGTCTATGACTTGCCTTTTGCTGTTCCGCCTGGCCTATCGGAATCACCTCGCCTGCCCGTGGACTGGTCATTTGGTAGTCTTGGTTACGAGGCTATTAAGAGGGCGCTGGGTGGGCAGTTGAAACTCAGTGCTTTTGCGTATGTGGGTGTGAGGATTGGAGAGTGGAGGGAAGATATCTGGTTCAAGGGTGGGAAGATTGGTGCGAATGTTAGGCTTTGAGCGGTGGGCAGTTGAGGGTGTTGTATTCGTTGTGTATACTTGGATGGGTTGGACTGTATACGCCTGGTCGCGTTGGTTGGGCTACATCTACAAAGGCAGGAACGGCGTTGAGGTTCTCGAAATTGGCTACTATAACGCTCTTGACGTATCAATAAGACATATTTCTATTTTATCAACATCTGTGTTCCGGTTTCTGGGTGTGCTTCACTTCACAGGTGCACTTTCTCGCGGTGTTTTCTGCATTGGGCACTTTGTCTGCATGAACAATCGCTTCTCATTCTCAGCGTCATGGCAGCTAGCGCCATAAATTCCGTTACGACTTCTGCCAGCGAACTGGAAACCCATCTCTTGCCACGAACCAGGCAGCCAACCCTCATTGTAGACATTAAGACCCGTGTCGTATGTGCGCCATATCATTCCAACCTAACCAGAGGCTCGACCAATCCATCATTCCAGCCGACCATTTGATCAAGCAATCTTCCATCCGAGCTCCATCAAGACCAAAGACAAGAAAACGCCCAGTATGCAATAGAAAAAAGATTGATCCCGACCTCTCTCAAACACCATGTCCGATATGCAAGCCCGAATATGCCCGTCCGTTGCTAAAGGAAAAAAGAGTGAAATCCGGACAAACGCCGTCGCTAATAGTATGCAATACAAAAAAACAAAAAGATCATTCTGGCAAGTACAAGTATAGAAAGCGGTAGAGTGGGAGAGAGAATACGCACTTACGTTGCTGTGCATCAGCATGACTTATGTAGGCGAAGTCAGAAGTACGTTACGGTCCATTATAATGGGTAAGTTCAGGCCCACGCAGTGTGGAATCACACACGTCGACTTGTCTGGCTGAGCAAGCGATCAGCCCGCTCGAAGACGTTGAGCGTGTTGGAAGGTTGAGAGACGCGAGGCGTGTTTGGGACAGTCGCTTGAGCAGCTGCTCCTAGGGCGGCACTGAGGGGCGTCGCCGGAACCGGTGTGCCGTACCCACCCGAGCCTTGCGACCCGAAGCTTGCATTGGAATATGGTTGCGCGGAGAAGACCGAAGCCATCGCCGGGATAGCTGTGTTGATGGGGCCCGGGAACGAAGGTCCGCCGCTCGAAGACATGGTCCCATTGGGTTGTTTCATGAACCTAGGTGGTTGGACGCGTGATGTGATGGACGACAAGCTCGGTGGACCCATCAAACCCGTATTGCTGCTAGTAAGATGCGACCATGGGCTGTCGTTGATAGCCAGAGTGGCTTCTTTGACCATCTTGTGCAGTGGCCGCATAAGCTGTTTGATCTCACCAGAGAGCAGCTTGTGTTCTCGGCCCTGTTGGGTATACGCCGCGGCAAGTTCTTGCCAAGCCTGAAACAAATGTAAGTCAACATCCAGTTCGCGAAACTTCGATTCGAAACAAGACATGGATCAACGTACCCTGATGAAACCCATGCATTGCTGCCAGAACTCGGGTTGGTTCCTAGTGTAGCTGTCTTTCAGCTGCATCTGTGACAGGCGGGCGGCAAGAGGATTTGTCATCTGCTGGACATCATTGCTCTTATCAATGAGGTTCGCTAGCGCCTTTATTCGGGGATCCTCGTTGTCAAGATCGCGTCGCAGACCGTCAAACTGGTCTCGCATCATACGTGTGATCTGTGGCATGGATTGCCTGCAGCTGTCGGATGCATTCCTGAGTTTCGAATAGACTCGGTCGAATTGAGCGTCTTCATCTGCTTCGTCGAAACTGCTGGTCAGTGTGTTCGATCGGGTCATGGACGGCGCTAGTGTTGAGAACGACTCTCCGGAACGCGGCGTGGCGGCACTGATGCTCGTCAAAGTGTTGGATCGACTGTTGTCATTGCTGTGGAGTATGACTGGCGGAGGCATCTGATAGCCGCCGTTGCGCTGGGGCGGTGATGCCTGGAATCGACGATTCACCCTCGATGGGCGTGCGCGCACTGTAGCTACTGGGTCGGGATTGCTGGGCTTGCGCAAAGTTACCGAAGTGTCCTTGAATTGCGCACCCAGGACCGAACAGGCGTTCCTCATCTCGATCATGCTTGCTTGCTGGAGAAACAAGAAAGTCCGCATAATGTGCACATTTGCGTTCTGGGTGATCTCGACGCGGTTCTCGGCAATTGAGAGACTGATGGACATGAAAGATTCGAGGCACCTTAGCGCATACATGTACACGCTTCTGGAAAGCTTCTGGGCATCTTCTTCGTCCTCTTCGACTAGCCTGTCAAACTTGTGCAGAACCTCGTTCAGCGCTCGGATGTTCAGGTAGGTAGTTGAGTACCTGCGGTAAAAGTCTTCCTTGCGACGCAGGCTCTCTTTCGTCTTGGCGGTGAGCTTGATTGAGCGTACCATGTGTGAGACGCAGTCGTGCAGCTGAGAAATAGCATAGAGAAAGTTCTTGGCAGCTTCGACGACAATGTCCGGCGCACGCGAGTTCCGCCTGTGTTCTCGTACGTCGGATAGTGGACGGTTCGCGAGGGATCTGACGGTACCGGTATCTCCATAAACACCAGCGGTCGCAGGACCTGACAGACCATTCGCTGCGGAGTGTGCAGGAACAACAATTCCCTGGCTGAAGCCGCGGAAGTGACTTGTCCGCCGCAGCTCGTCGACGGAACCCAGCTCAGACGTCTTGTTGGTGTATATGCCCATTCGCTTCTGGCGGTGCGACGAAGGCCCCGAACCCTCACTCTGGCTTCGATTACGCTCGTTATTCCCGTTTGTCAAGACCAGCGGCGAAACCGGAGGCTTCTTCGAAACGACGATGCCCGCGCCATTGCCATTGCTCGTTGTGGAACCGACGCGGTAGTGAGATCGAACCGGAATAGGCGGGACAGGCAGGCCGGGGGAGTCTGCCTTGGCGTCGGAGAAGCCATCGATGTTGCCTACACTGGGCCTGACGGGGAAGCGCCCCCCGTTGGCTCGCTTCGACGGACGGGGTGTCTCCGGGTTGCTTTCGGTCCAGCTCTCGTCCCCAGAAGACTCGACACGCAGTCTTTCCAAATCGGACCGCTGACGCTCCTTTGCAATGTGTTGTCGCATGAAGCGTTTGACTTGTGTGGCTATGACGGCATCGCGCTCGTTCTCGTTTGCGGGTGAGGGGGCGTTGTCCTTGATGGTGCACACGTCGGGCGGGGGGAAGACCAGCTGGTTGCCGTCTAGCTTAAGGACCTGCAAGCTGTTGATCTCGCCCAGACACACGGGCAATTCCTCAATCTTGTTCTTTGCGATTGCCAGCACCTTCAAAGACGTCAAGTTTGCGATTTTGGGCGGGATGATCCTGATCTTGTTCCTGCTCACGTCGAGGATTTCCAGCGAGGTCATCTCGAGGATCTGGGGCGGTGTCAGCGGGTCTTGCCGGCGGAGGGGACTGCGGGGGCCAACATACGGCGTTGGGAATCTCGCGCATGGCATTGTAGCGCACGTTGAGGTAGCGGAGGCGCCTGCATTCGATGAGGCGCGAGGGGAGGGTCGAGAGGAGGTTGTGGGAAAGAGCGAGCCTAACAGGTCAATAAGTCTTCTCTACCGCCAACTACAGGCATAGCAGGCGCGGGCGGCAAGGCCGTGTACCTTTCAATCTCGGCCCGGATGACATCGATGACCTCGTCAGGCAGGCGGGCGATGTTCTTGTGGCCCAGGTCAATCGTAATGCCGGGCTGCTGCTGCTGCAGTTCCCGGGGCGTCTCGGCGGCGGCGCGGTGGTTGATGTCCTGGCGGGAGTGCTCAAAGGCCGCCTTGGTCAGGGCCACAACCTCGTCGTCCGAGATGGGCGTGGGCGCGTCGTTGCTCATGGCGAGCGGGCACTTGGAGTGCGCGGCGGGGGTGTTAGAGTCGTGGTGGTGGCATACATGCTGTTCGCGTGCACAGCGACAGTGAAGCTCAAGTAAGTAAGGAGCCACCTGCGGTTGGTTGGTCGTCGCCTAGCCCCTTTCGGCCGTAGCGGCCTGGGCCTGTCAGGTCCCGCTCAAGTCGAAACATCACTGATCAGCTCGGAGCCACCACAGCGCCCCATCCATGTCCCAGCCCGCTGCTGACACGTCTTGGGCGCTTGAAACGCGTTTTGACTTTGTGCCTGCTTCGAGTGACGCCGAACACCTTCCCCAGCAGAGGCAAGAACGCCGCCTGCCCACGTGACTGGCGAGGCCGTTGGCACGGCTGGCCAGTCTCCAACGGCCAAAACGGCCGAAAACCTTAGCCACCCGCGTAATCGACAGGATTCCGGCCGTCCGTCTCCGCATCCCTTTCGGCCTTTCTGCAGATGAGAAGACTATCTACACATTCCTAGACACTCGTATATAGAAGCTGACGAGCTGCAATCAGCGTGCGTCTCTACATCTGCGCTAATGCTCAACACCAGATCTGATCTGACATGTCGACGGATCCCATCGTGAACGCTATGCAAGGTACAGGCATCCTCCGATCACGCTAACCCACGCCATAGGATTCTGGCAGCCCGTTCTGCGTCATGATTGAACGTACTTTGGCTGGTTGGGCGGGGACGTGAAGGCTGGGTATCGGGGTATTTTCACATCTGATTTTCCTTTTTCCAGATGCCATGATCCAACCTCACACAACCTGCGATGGACATTGACGACGCCCTACCGCCTGCCATCCGTCGTTCGCCGAGAGCTGCCCTCGAGGCGCAGAAGCAGTACAGGGACCACCGAACTTTTGATTTTGACGAATCCGACGAAGACCTGGATGAAGCAGCCCCACCCCCAATAGCGCGCAGTCGATCTGCTTCAATTGACAGCCAAACGACATCTCGCCCTGCCTCGTCAGGCCTCAATCCACTCCGAGCGCATCCAGTCGATGCGCCGCCGCCAAAGAATCCAGCCCGCCAGTTTTCTCGTCCGTTTCGAAATGATGAACCTCAACATGTGCGGTCAGCCGAACCGGATCCCCAACTTGAGCCGCAATCCACGCGACGACACCCACGCGGGCTCATATCATATCGCAACAATAAGAGGGAAATCAGTAACATCAAGCGCTTTCCTCCTCATCTAAGGCGCCAGACTTCACTGGAAACTATCAACTCGGTAAACACGACAGCATCTGATGATCAGAGCATCTATGGCAATGATCCACCTGAAGTTGAGGCTCCTTCGCCGGATTGGTTTACCTTGGAAGATGATCCGCCGACCAATCCTCCGCCCAGTGTCATGTCCAAAACCTCTTCAATGAATTCATCAAGTGGAAGCTCGAGGCGAACGTCGACACCCGTAGAGACACCCCTAGAGTATGGGAGTCTCGATCACCACACACCGCAGTCACTATTCCGGAAGATGATGCCTCGGCGGTTGACAGACAAGTCGCAAGATCCTCCTCCCAGCCCTACTCGCCTAGTCATAGCAAAGTCGACTTCGGTTGATCGGACGTCCGCCCACATCTCCAGCTTTTCAAGATCAACAACATCCATATCAGAAGAGCAACGGTCTATGCCCGAGGAACGTTCCCTTCAGTCTGTACTAGACAACGTGGAGCGAAGTCGATCTGGCTCAAAGTCAAGCGGAAGCAGTAAATGGAGTGCGAGCGACTTCGACACAACTACTCTGTCCGAAGCTGAACTCAAGAGGTGTAAGAAGAAAGGCATCAACCCAGCCCTGTACGCTGAGATGCGGGCGGCGAAGAAGGGAAAGTGGACTAGTCCCATTGCTGGCAATACTTTCCTTTAGTGTTCACGGTTCGGAATTACGATACACCTCCGCTAATGCGCCCGACCCTCTGGGAGGTAGGATCCCCCTTACGTACCGGCAACCGACACGACTTTCATACACTTGCTGCTTTTACGAATTCCGAGACCATGGCGCGTGGCTTGAGCCCAGCAGCGAGTACACAGTACAAGTCCTCCTTCGGTTGGAAACCTTATCCTCGTGTCAATGCTTGGCGACCCAATCCCAGACATGTGACGTCCTTCATTCCACCGCCCACGCCTCACTCAGACACCAACCGCGCGCATCGTGCCGTTCCACGGACCTTCTCGGACGGCGACTATCGGTGAAAGGGATGACATCTCGCCGTCCTCGGGTGTAGCCCTCCACATCGGCGAGAAGGTGTACGGCGAGGTGGTGTACGCAAATTGCTACCAATGCATTTTCAGACTTGGGTGTATCTTCAACGTGTTGGTTTACGGGTTATCATGTTCTAGACACGTTGACCTGGATATTGTGTGCAAGCTCATGCAGATGTCCTTGCACTTTTTCTGTCGTCGCTGCATTGTGAGCGCATCGTCCGAGTTCCGTCCTTCTCATATGTCATCGGATGGTTTTGAGCGTATGGTGCATTATATATCTCTTTCATATGTCCAAGGGGCGCATAACGGAAACTGGTAATGGTATTAAGCGATGGAGTCTCGGTTCGTTTCACCATCTACAGATACCAATAGTAATACATCTGATCAAGATCGACTATCGCGAGGTCTACCCTGAATGTGAGGGATATCCCATCAACCTCTGCTCACTCGAGCAGAAGTAGCCATATCGATATATATGTATATATAGCTTGGACTGCAACATGTAATCAATAACTACCTCGATTGCTTGAGAAGTGTTCCGTGCCCGTCATGTCCATGACAACTCGCGTTCTCCTTCCCATTTGTTGCGACTATTATGTTCACAAGCCACGAACAGGATATGATCGATAACGCAACTCTAATCGCCGAGGAGATGGCCAGCAATAGCTTAGACCAAAGTACAGATGAAGGGATTCTGACAATGACAACGGGAGTGACTGCGAGAGCGCAATCGAATACGAAGTAGATGCGGTACCAATCAAAGACTTCGAGCGCCTACACTGATCAATCCTCGAAGACACATCTCGTATCCAAGTACACTCCGACACATCTACAGGGTCTACCTCTATACATACACACCCTTCCCAGACCAGACCATGGCCAAACAGTCCGCTAGTCCACCACCCTGCCGCAAGATCGCCTTCGACCTCCCCGTGGTGGCCTACATCGAAGCGACCAGCTGCAAGTGACCGCGTCGCTTATTTGTCACCATACCCGATGCTGGCGTTATAAGCATTGCTGACCTAGTTCAAAGGCTCTCGCCCTACATTGACGAAAACAGAGACGACATATCTCAAGTCGTAGGGTTCAGCATGAAATTTAAACCCCCCATCATATAGATGACACACCGTTGAATACCAAACGCTTCTTCGTAGAGGCCTCAGACAATGTTATTAACAAGGAATATCACACTATAGGCGTGGATATGGATGATAGGATGAGTGTAAACACTGAATACCAAAGGAACAAAGAAACACAATCCCCAACGGTCCGTTGAAGACCAGGGGAAGCGACATAGGGCACTCCCGCATGATGCAAGAACCATTCCACTCTAACGGAAACCACACCCAGACGCACTCTCACCTTCTAGAACCCGCAACATAGATTGCGCTCGCGTGTGTTGAGCTCAGCCAAATCAGACACATCGTCGTTGTCGTCTCTTGACATTCATGTGGTTTACCGGGGAACAAGGGAAAAGAGTAAACAAAATAGATTAAAGCCCTACTATATGGAAATAACTCGACACACGCGCCCAGACGGCACCATGGCAGTCCACGGCCTGCCCGGATCGGTCAGTCAGTGTGGAGTTTTAGGTCTAACCTTCTGCAAGAAACCGAACACTAACAGGGACGTACGTGGATGTCGAGTGTCTTTCTGCGACGGACGACGCGGCGAGCAAGGCGCGAGTGCGGATTAAATGGCGTGCTTTCACGTGCCTTGCTATATGTATGCGAGTGCATGTGGTATCGTGAGAAACCTACAGGACCGATAGCCCATGGTGTTGGTATTTTGCCCATCAATTTTCGTCAGCCTCATCGTCGATCGCAGGGAAGAATGTATCGTGGGAACCTTCCTATTGCAGAGAGCCGTGAGAGCAGGCCCGAAGGTGGAGGGCGCGGCGCAAGTTGATTAATCTGCTCGGTTTGGAAGGTCTAGAATGCTGTTGGGGGGTAGGAAGTAGGGGTGATGCCTCATCTCCATGATGTTGTGCTGGTGCTCCACGCGCAAAAGCGCGATCACGATCCACGATCACTGCTGCTCGATCACGATGCGGCATGGGGGTGACGCGGTGTAACGTGCCGCCTTGTCTAGGCTTTTGACATGGTAGACACAGATTGTACAGGTTTGAATGCACTAGCGACCCGTGTGTGCAGTAGTACGGGCGGAACTTCGAGTTTACATCATGCCGTTTTTTGCTGAACATGGTGAGGTTAGTGCAGACACACTCCCCTACCGATCGTGAGTTTAAGCGGGGCTGAAAATTGTAAGCAGAGGCATAAGCTATCCGGAATACATCCCATATACATACTCCTACACCGATACATGTACCGAGTAAGAGAGGCCCAAAGTATTGGCCAAGCACCAACCAGAGCGAATCGCTTAGTCGGTTATTGTGATGCTATTCATACCAATATCGCCATCATCGATTACTTGCAAGCATGCAAGGCACCATCACAGCCTGTTCCTTCTCCATTCCGACATGTGCTCCGATCCATCCCACCACACGCACACCAAGATCAACAAACTGCAGTGGCTGTGAGAGCCCACTATCCTAACGGCAGTTACTGCTTAGCGCCGCTCGTCACACACGATCATGTCTCATGGCGCATGCGATCAGCGGCGTGCTGCTTTTGGCCCTGCTTCCTGCCCCTCACTAGTGTCTTGATCCGCTGACACAGCTGTCTATCTTGACCTCAACGGGAAGGCGACGATCAGTGTGCGCTGCTTTTGCTACGTCCTTCGCGCTAACGGGATAAGGAGAGCTGGCGGGAAAGGTAGAATGCTGCACGCGGGTTGGACGACCACTTTGCATGCTTGGGCCATATTGCGTCGATTGGTTTGCTTGAAGATTTGTGTCATTACAAACTCGCGATTTCGATGTTCGATATGCAATGGCGTCGGCGGTTCAGCTGCGCCCCCTTTAACGTTCGTGCGGGGTCGGGAATGCTAAGACAAACTCCTTTGCTTCCGCCAGTTCCCCATGTTCCTATTCGCGAGGACGCGCAGGGAGATTGAGCATGCTCCGACCATGTCTTACGTGAACATAGATGGGTAGCATCTCCACTGGGTAACGAGCGAAAGATCAGCGGGCTTTTGGTACTCCACAACGCTGCTGTTGTATCTCTAGGTGATCGTCGAGACTAGGTGACGATTAAACCTTCGACGTCACATCGTGTGGCTTATCTCCAGCGAACAGATATGCTTTCTAGAAGGCTTCGAGAAGTTTTGCCACTCTCGTGTTTGCTTTTGTGCGAAACCCCTCTCTTGGCCCAGGTCCATGTGTTCCATGCTGGTGGGTGCGATGATGGAAGAGAGATGAGGGGTAAGTCGCACAAAGCGGCCAGGGTAAACAGGTCTATTACGTTGCGCAGACTTCGTCATCGTGCCTGCGCGAATTTCGACGTCGTTGGTAATAGCTATGCAATTGAGAGACGGGTTGTACGTTTAGCTGGTAAGATCCAGTTAGCCCGGTGGAGTGATTTTTCGCGGTTTACAAGTCCGTCGATAACGATGTTACCTGTACATTGACGAATCACGGCTTTACCTCCCCTTTCTGCTCCGCGGAGGGTATCTTGCATCGGCGAACGGGTGTTGCCGTCAAGTGGTTAGTCGGTCGGTCTTGGTATTTTGTAGTCTGGCTTGGAACGTAATGATTACTGGTAGGTTTGGACGGCGTGCTGCGCTGCTGGCAAGTCTATCTGCAATGCAATGGCCGCGCGGGAGGCTGTGCGCTGGGTACAAGTGCCGGGCAGGCTTGGGTGGATGGGGAAGGAGACAGGACAATCTCAGTGTGCGCGCGGGAATAAAGCGATAGAGTTGCGGGAATGGGAGATTGCGATACTGTGAATAGATCTTTAGATTGATTGAGGCTGAATTACTGCGAACGAGTATTTGCAGCGCTTATATTCTTGGTTGGTGTGTGCGCGATGCCTGACGAGAGGGCAACCGTTGAAAGCGATAAAATCTAGTCATGTAGCGTACCTCATACCTAGGTTTCTTTCCATTGTGACCTTGACAACGTTCAATTCGGATATACATACACGGTGCGACGTCGCTAGCTTGTACAGTTGATCAGCAACGCGAAAAGCTCCATGACTCTGCGCTGTCGAGATCTTCCGCCCCAAGCGTCAAGGTCCTGAAGTTGAGGTCGTGCTTCAGCACACGCCAACACAATATCAAATACCTCCACGAACAACACCATTCAACAAGACAAGGCATCCCAGAGGCCGTCGAGTCATATCTTCCACCAGTACCCAAGTGAAACATGTCACGCCTGAACATCGATTCAACGTCCCATCTTTGAAACGAGTTTACCCGCATGGTACCTCGAGCCGCCGTAAGCGCTGAACGACAACAATATCAAGGAAGCCTTGGTATAGCACATTACGGATATCGCTGATGCCGTAGATAATACCTGGCCCGGGCACAGTATATGGGAGATTTGTAGATGCTGGCCGTATACCGTATACATTCAGCAATGTAACTCCCCTTAGACATCACATCGTCGTCCCAGGAGAGCGATTACCTCATCCACCCCAGCACAACGGGGTCCCGAAACCACGTTCGCGGCAATGCAAATGCACGCCAAATCCACGTGCTGCCTCGCTCAAGGGCCCACCTAAAAAGAGAATAGAACAAAACCAAACGTTCGTGCACGAGGGAGGAACCAGGAATTGTGCATAGCGTTTGTGATGTACACTTTCCCTTACGCCACCACCAACATTACTCGCTCTCGCATCCTTTGGCGTGCGGCACAGTTGCAGGAAAGGAGGACTTCGGGCTTGGCAACGACATGTGAACGGCGTTCTGGACACGAAGGGCGGATTCCGCGTGCATGGGATTGGTAATGTGCCATGTTCCTGAAGTTTGGGGTCGGCGAGCGGGCTGGCGCGCTCGGTTACACGTCGTTGGTGCTGCGTGGTTGAGCTGGAGCGCGAGGCTGATCGGTGTGCTCATGTATGTGATATAGGGATAGAGTTTGGGTTCATTGGGATGATGTGAGAAAGAGATCCGCGGAGGCGGCCTATCGTTACGCCTTGGTTGGTGTGCTCGTATGGTGGGTGGTTCGGATCCGGATAGGAAGGGGAGAGGCGAGTGAGAAAATAGCAAGAGCCATCTGAATAGTATCGTGCTCGCCTGGAATGTGGCAATTATCGACCGACTCACAGCACGTGGCCTAAAACGCCACCCCGTGATGGTACAACTGCCATGACAAAGTCTCCGCCTACTCATCCTTCCACCCCAACTTCAAGTTCACCACCCAACACATTGGTCTACGCTTCACACGTCACGCATCTTCCTTCGGCGATTGCCCTCGCACCGGGCACCTCGGGCACCGCATCCCTTACCCAACCCGTGGCCATGGGTAGCACATCAATGGCGTAGCTGAAAGTACACGATGGAAAGAAGGGCTTTCCCAATCCAGCAGCTCATTCGCCCGGGTCCTCGGCGACCGTCTCCAGCCCAGCGGAGAGAAGTAGGGGCGGAAAGGATCCAAGGGATACCGCGGAGTCGGTATTCAAGGAGTGGAAAGGAGACTGCTATTATCGGTATGTCCCATATGACCACCGATGGGCGTCCCGGTTATACGGCGAAAGGGATTGATTGAGGATATCCCTTTGCTTTGCGTTCGGCGATTCCTTGCGTAGCCTATGCGCACGAGAAGATCTACATGCTGTCCCGGACGAACGAGCTCCGATGCAAGGCATCAGGTTGGTGGGCGCTGTGTAAGATGCGATTTGTTGATGTGGAGGCAGTGGAGTTCCGATATGTTGGTACAGAAAGGGAGTCGGAGGTACCACGGCGATGGCGTAGACAGCCTGTATCCGACATTGCCTAATTGAGCAAGAACGTCACAGCAAGGGAACGGCATTGAAACAGTTTTTGTGTGTTGTTGACCAACAATGGTAAACAGTCATGATTCTAGCGCTTCATGCGCTTTGGTATCTACTCCAATCCGAACCCCATCCATGCCTATGAACAGTCAATGCGCCTCGGAAACAAATCCGAAGCACGCCCGCTTTGGGGCAAAGTGAAAAGTAGCCGTAATGATACAGAGAAAATATTCAAAACCGTCCGCCCAGTAGGTCATTCGTGATATGCTCTTGATAGATGGAAACGTCAAATGTAACGCCTGGGCCTAGCCACTACAAGTGGATATAGGAAGTGTGGCCGCCAAGTTTCGCAACGCCGTTTCGCAAAATGTCTAGTAGTTTGAAGTTGAGAAGGAAGTGGAAATGCCGAAAACAACCTCGCCGGGTCGTGTGAGCCAGTTGCGCCTTCGCATGCCCGTGAAGTCGGGGTGGGAAATCAGTTACGCCGGTGTTTATGCAACCCAGTATGCAAGGTCAAGGTGATGCAAATCGCTCTGATTGCATCTTCGTAATCGTGTCGCTTTTGAATGACGGAATGTCGGTGTGATGGTGAAGAATGTAAGAGGTGAGTGGGTAGCTTAGAACAGGCCGCCCTCGACAACGCCTGGTTCGTCGTCTCGGAGCTGGCCGCCGCTCTTCTTCTTGGGCCAGAGCTTGCTGCTTACTCGCTTCCAGCTATCCCGGGTAGCACTGGCGAGACCATTGTGCTCTCCTCGGCTGTTGCGGGGGCTGGGTGTGCCGCTATTCGAGCCAGTGTCGTAGTAGGCTTGATGAAAGTCGGCCATGGGGTAATCGCTCATGGGCGGTGTGCCAGGCGGTGTAAGTGGATCGCTCATGCCCGACGGGCTGCTGGCGCTGCCAGAGTCATCGGTCAATGCATCGCTGCCACTAGTGTAGCCAGATGTAACACGGGTGTGTGCTTGACCGGAAGAGGTCGGCTGAGAGTGGAACCGAGAGTGTGAGAAGGGTCTCGAGGCCATGAAGCCAGACGTCAGTGACGACGGTGCCGATGCTCGTTGGTGGGCAGGCACGGGCGGCTGTGACGAGCGGGAGAGCATACTCCGCTCCTCGTAGCTGCGGGTCGATGAGCGTGAGATGTTGCTACCAGCGTAGCTCTCGTGGCTGGCGGGGTGAGCACTCTGTGGGCTGACTGAGTTGAGGAACGAGACCAGTACGCTCTCCTCCATGAGCTCGTTGATCTTGGCCACGGCACTGTCTAATGCCGATGGGTGGGGTGGGACATATGAGTCGGATAGGCTTAGTAAAGTGTCGCGGACTTCGGCGGGAAGGTTGACCTGCGGCTGTTAGTAGAGGTTGGGTGGATAGGATTGAACGAACGTACTTCTCGTGGGCCGGACTCGCGGATGTAGGCGTCAATCAATCGACGCCAGAGCATCAGCACGTAGCCGCACTCTTCGGACAATGGCGAGATGGGGCTGCCCGGATGGCGGTTGACCATCTTGGAGTAGTGCTTGCGGTAGCGGGAGGCGTCCATGGTGAATTCGAGGTTCTCGAGGCAGTGGTTCTGGGACAGGAAGGCCATGAAGGAGGTGAGGGTGTAGGGCGGCGGGGCGGTGTTGCTGAGGATCTCCTGCAGATTGGGTTTCCGGCATTGCGGGCTGGGGATGTTCTTGGGTATCGAGACGGTCAGCGGGGCGGGCTGGCAGTCGGACAGGGCCATCTTGACGTCGCGGGCATCAAAGTCTTGCAGCGAGGGCGTGGGCGAGGACGAGGCGGTCGAGTCGGTGCGGATGGACAGGGCGTGGCTTCCGGATTTGCGTGTGACCATGACGCTGCGCCAGAACTGCTTGTAAACACGGCGGGCGTCCTTCCTGCTCTGCTCGTCGAAGCCTTCACAGGAACAGAGTTGCAGTTGTTGCGCCAGCTTGGCGTTGGCGGCACGAGGTTCGGGCGAACCTAGTGTCTTGGGCGGTGGTGGGAAGTTAACGCTCCGGCGGCGGCAGCATCGGGGGGTGGGTGGGAGTGGTAGGCGGGTGCTGTATATACGTTGGCGTGGGTAGTCGTGTGGTGAGACCGATATGCGTCAGGACGTGGCTATGGACAGCAGGCTATGGACAGGTGCGGCTCAGCGTGGTTTTGAGCAAGCGGCAGTGGAGAGTCAGGGAGTCTTGGGTCAATGCTTGGGCGGAAAGCTCAGTCAGGACGCACACGCCAGGGCCCACCAGCGGTTTGGCCATCACGAAGGATTGAGGGCCCATGGCTGAGGGCTCGCTGCCGTAAAAGCGGCGGCACGCGCTACCTGGGCATTGGCCGCCCATGTCTTCTGGAAGACGCACGCCCGCATCATCATCCTGGCCGAAACCGCCCCCTGCTGCTCAGTCTTGCCACGCCGATGGGTGCTGATGGGCGCGCTGCCCTGCCCGACCTGGCCGCCTGCTGTGACAGACTGCGACACTGCACACTGCGACATCAGCGCCGCCGACGAACGACGCGTCGCTTTCCGAGGGCGTGGGAGGTCGCACCGCAGACAGCCAGCACGGTCGCTCTCTATCTCACCAGCCATGCCCGTCTGGTTGCGACGCCCGGCACTAGCTGCGTGCATAGATTACCTTGGCCCCCCAGCCTTGTGCGTCGCCGCAGCCCTCTCTAGCAGCCGACTGGGCGTAGCCTGTCCCAAACGGCCCTTTTAGACGATAAAGAGCACCCTTCTCCAGTTTCCGTCGCCTTTCCTTACCAGTCCGTACGAGTTGCGAGACGGATGGCAATCGAGTGCACAGTGGAGGTCCCAGGGACGTGGAATGCGCAGCCTGAGCACCTCCCAGCACGCCGCATACGATGGCGGAGCCCACTAATCCACCCTATGACTCTGCCTACACAACAAAGGAAAGTAGATCGATCGCACGCCCGCCCATGTCTCTTGCTTGCTTTGTCACAGCATGTACAGCCCACATTGAACTACACCATGCCCAGTGTCACCTGCTGCCGCGTGATGTGCACGCGCAACGGTACTTGATCAAGTCGTCCTCGCCAATCACGCTCCTCATGTCTTACACCACGCCAGCCGCACGGCCACACGCTTGGCCCTCGCCCTACGCCTGGGGTCAGACTCGTCCTCCAAGTGCTCCCCAATCTCGCCCATTACTGACGCAAACCCGCCCTCAGCCAACCGCCCTCCACTTGGGATGCGCCGGCGCCTCTCTAGCCTTCTAGCACCCTTCTTAGCAAACACTCCCACGCCGTGCATGAGCACACCGTGCCAACGACTGTAGGTGTATACTCACGCATGCTCTTTCTTTTGTGCCCGCTGCTCTATCCACCCGGCTATACACTCCTGCCCTGCTATCCCGCCAGCTATCCCGCCAGCGTCTCGCTGTCTCAAACGAGGGAATGCTGACGTTCCACCAGCGCTACCATCAGGCCACCCACCCCCAATCCCTGCCCCATCGCACTTTCTTTCACCGTGCCACCGAAGAAATCTTCTAGAACGATTTCATCCTTCTAGAAATTTACCCGAACCTGCCTAGTGCGTCCACACACGCCCTGCGCGTCGATCCAGGATCTCCGTCAACCTCCTGCATGTCCAGCGAAACGCCTGTAACACTCGACCCTCGAAGCCTTCACCTCGGAAATCGCTCACCCATTCGATGTAGCGCTGCCACCTGTTGAGGGCGCCTTCGGGCTTTCTCCAAGCGCCGACCCTGCCGTGCTTCGTGAAGATGCAAATGTGGCGCTTCTAGAAGGACTGCTGTGTCGTTGCAGCACCGCCAGTAGCCGGCTAACGACTCAGCTCGCGCCGACGCGCACCCAAATTCATTCCGCACCGAAAATTTTGAGCCGCCAACAAAAAAAAGCTCGGAGCCTCAGGAACACAGCATGACGCAGCCAGTGGGCCATTTTTTGTTCGCGTAGTCGTGATTCACCCGCTTCACCGCTTCGTGGGGTTTCGTTTTTTAGCCGCATCCCACGCTCCGTCGGAGCACCGCGATCGCTGAAACTACACGCTGACCTTGGCGGAGTCTCTGCTGTTCGAGCCTCAGTCATGTCGGAACGACATGTCCTCTCCTTGCATGGTGGCGTCCATAATGTGCGCCTTTTTGCTTGTTAGAGCCCCAACGACCACGCCCTCGGTACCAGCTTCCCGACGTTGACTTGAAGAAATCCTCACTACCAAGGCCATGTTGGCCCTGTGTCATGATTTCGAGCAATCACGAGATTCATGGCATTTAGCCTTAGTTTCCATTCTTTGCACAGCATTGCCTGTCCACACTCCACATTGTGGTGTTGAGCTTGGACTCAAGCATTGATTGCTTCGGAACCGGCGACCGCCCGCCGAAGAGACGCCAGGTGTACATGAAACCGGACCGATGTGGACCGTAACCACTGTTTGATCGATGCACTGATGTGTCTGCGCTGGCACACTGTGAGCAGAAAAAGGAAAGAGGTAAAAGACATGCTGGTGGTTATCAAACTGCTTCAAACATAGGGCCAGCCGTACATGCTGGTGCCGATCCTATGCCGTTGCCGATGAGTCAATCGGCTGACGTCGTTACGGAGCGACGTTGGTTACGTTTGCCCTGGATCCCACGACAGCCTGCAACACGCGAGTGCTTCGATCGGGTTACCTGTCTCCCCAACAAGACGCCCGTCTAGGTATCTCCTTGGTGTTTTTCACGTCGTTCGTTTCACGGCTCTTGACAAGGCAGTTGAGGTCCATGCTACCTCGTCATCCCACTTTCTGGATGTCTATCTGCAACCGTGTCCCGGCTTGCGTCTCAAGCGCAGCGACGTCTAGATCCCATCCCTTCCCCCTCATCTCGTCCCCATATTTTCCAAACGTCGCCCGGACGTCCTCCAACGTCTGCCTCAACTCAGCCTTCAGGCGATCCTTGGCCGGAGGTAGTGCTTCATTGGGCTGATCACCCGAGTGCCCATTCCCATCTCGGGCCCTCTTCGCAAACAACAGTGCGTGAGCCCATGCTTTGAGATGATCCGTCGGTCCACACTCTGCTTTCAGTGCAATGGAGATATAAGATGCGGATGCAGCGGGACACATGATGTATGCCTCGCTGGCGAAGACGGTTAGTAGTTCGGAGATTTGTATAGTCCGCAGAGCGAGCGAGCCCGTTTGCCTATTTTCTTCCCCAATACGGCCTAGCATATCCTGGAGAGATACGCCAATCTTACACTGGCCGAGCACTTCGTCGTCGGACCAGCGCAATACGTCACCTCTGTGGAAGATGCGCTCGCGCTTAGACACTTCGGTCGGACTCAGCACGACGCCGTGCTGGAACATGTTGCTGAACAGGATGTTGGCGCGCTGCCTATTGAGGGATGCGATGCTGACGGCCCTCACAGCGGCATAGTTGGTGGCGAGATGTATTCCTAGCAGGAAGATGAGTGTGCTCCATGTCGCAAAGGGTGAGGTGATGTAGGATACTACCAGGCTGCCTGCCTAGCCGGCGTATTAGTCATCACATCAGCAGTGTGTAAGCTCGGCGGTACTTACAAGCATACCCATTAGAGAGATGACTGTCTCTTGGCTCGAATCTTTCTAAGCATTAGTCAGTAACGGTCATGTGTACCCAACCTACACTGCGCCCCACAGCATAAGTCGTAAGCTATCTATGCAGATCTGTGTATTGGGCATGATAGCACATGGTCTTAACACCCATTGTAAGACACGTGCTTGTAGACATCCGATTGCTTTTCTGCTCGCTGTTTCATAGTGAAGAAGAAAAGAAACAGCAAACTCACAGCGTTCACCTCCCCCAGATTCCCCTTCTTTGCAAAATGCGCACTCAAACTCGCTTTCGCACTTCCCGCACAAACCCCACATAGGGCTCTCAGACAGCTCGAGAAGCTCAACACAGCCACGCGGATGGGTTTGGGGAAGGCGGGTGATAGGCAATCGAGCACCATGGCTGTGTCGTTGAAGACATCGGCGGCTAGTCGGTACATTTTGCATTCAGGCTCGAGGGCTGTGCCGAGACGGTGCGCGAAGAGGATCGTAGCGATGCGGCCGGTAGATTCTTGGAGTACGGAGAGGAGGAGTGCGGAAGTGGGGGAGGCGGTTGAGTCGCCGACGCCGACGCCTGGGTGGGTGGTTAGATGGGTGGTGGTGGGATTTGCTGTTGGGTGTCATCGCGATGGAGTGTCTCCATGTTAGGTGCTTGTGATGTACAGTCCATTCTCTTGAGAGCCTTGTTGACAACGCAGAGTACCTGGTTTACCCAAGGATGGGGGAATCATATGCTGAGTATACTCCATGCCGCACATGGAAACATACCTTCCAGAACAGCTCTCGAGGCCAACATCCCCGCAATTGACGATGAGAATGCTTGAAGCGAGTCCTACATGAACATATCCCCATCAGCTTTCCTGTGTTCCTGATACTCAAACTCAAACTATCGTGCATCAGAAGAGGAAAGGTCTGAGTAAAACATACATAAATCTGATAATGGATATAATCCTCCGTCACACTCTGCGGATATCCCGTTGGCAGAAAAACATCAAGAAGGCGTTGCGCATAGCTCTTTGCTTCTGTGGGATACTAAAATGGTGGAGATGTTATGTCAGTGACCGTAAACACATAGTACACCAACGCGTCTCTGGAGTCAGACTTGCAGTACAGACACAGAGATATTGAACGCAAGTAAACCAAATAACTCATGACGAAGTAAGACGAGACGTGCATACAACGTACAATCACATCAACCCTCTTGCCTTCGGCAGAAGTAATATACTGCGCCACCAAATTCCCCGCCTCGTCTCGCTCGGCTATCTCCAGCGCCATCGATACGCGTGCAGACAGTCGAGTGGTGTGAGAATGGAATGACTGGTGCCCGCGTGAAAACGCCCAAGGTCGGTGCAAGTGGCTTCGCAATATCGCGCTAGGGTCCTGTCTCCGTAAACGGTTTGGTGGAATTGGTGGAGTGGAAGTACGCGGGGAGGGGGAGGATCGATGGGGGAAGAGGGGCTGGAACGAACGGAACCCGTGTGTAGATCCATCGCGCTTACCTACCTTCCACGATCGACCACTTTTTGTTGGTTTCCATCAGCTTTCATCTCATGTACAATCAGCTTGCTTGTTATGCTTGCTACCACACTCCTTTGTATGTAGCAAGCACACTGCTGCTTATAGGCAGCTTCCATCTCATGTTAGATGAATCAATACACTCATTTCTCCATCCAACACTTTTGTACATCAAACACATATTCCCCACGATTTGACGAACATCTCACTCCACTTCCCATGGTATTCTCTCCACGACCCCCGTTCGTTTGCGACGGTGTGGAAGATGATGCGCCGCTTTACCATTTCCCTCCTGTCGGCCATGGAAGCGTGGGACTGTGATCTGTGCACCCCAGCTGTATGAAGCTAGCTTCAGCTCTTCATCTATCGCGGAGTATCCTCGTTTGATTGCCTTGTATAGCTATCCCAACAAAAACCCCTTTACTGCACTGTATTTCACGTTCCCACAAACGGCTTTCCCTGCAACGAGGTGAGCCGTCCGTGTTGGGTCTTGTTGTTGAGACCGGAGAGTGCTATACGGATACGACATGAGATGGCTGCGTGAGCCGCTGTCTACATGCACTATAAAATGATGTGAGATTTCGGAGGTATTATTCTGGGCTTGCGTGTCTTGGGGTGGGTGATGTGCTTGATGGGTGTTAGAAGGGATCTTGGAGGCTTTTAGGGAAGGAGACCGATTGGTACACGTACTGGCGCAGGGAGGAAGGCGTGAAGCGGGATGAGGCGGAGGAGCTGTATGTGTCATCTTTGCTTATGTGCATGGTGACTGATCGGTCAGCCGTGTTATCGGTAGTCTTTCTCAAGGTTGTAGCTAACGTATCTTCCCTTAAACACCTACTCATCGCACTGGAAGCTTTACTGTTTCGTGGCGTGTGAATACCAGAAGACATGCTCGTCTCACGGCAAGTACGATCAAAGTACGGTCTTTCCTCCTGTATCTGATAGAATACGATGAGTTCTCAAGCCACATGTGGTGTTGAATACAGTAGTCGTCGTGACAAAGATGCACTACATGCCTTTCAGTGAACCTACTAATATCACGTGTTGCGACATTGCTCCTCCAGAACAGCGGACTTCCCGAGGTCGTGTATCTTCGTATCAGCGCAAGCAAGTGGCCTTTTGGAGAGACTGTGCGTGATACAGCCTACCATGGGCGATAAATTCCAGAGTCGTGGGAAGTGTGATGATGACTAAAAGTCAAAATCCTGGCGACAGCATTCTCGATTTCTGTAACGTTCTTCGGAGAAGTCTGGTAGACAGAAGTTATGATTCGATCAGATAGAGCGGGTTGGCTCTAATTGCTTTACAGTTACGAATGATGCTGCGACAGAGGATATGTACACTGCATGCTACAGTCTCTTTCGTCCAACACTACGTAAATTCTACGGCTTGTGATTAGACCAACATACGATCCGTCTCTTTACACTCATGAGCATACATGGCTGCAGCCGGAGAACAAGCAATTGAAGTATACATTACATTGAACTGTCTTCTTGCAGTGCATCACTGCCGTCTACCCGCAATCCTGCGCAATAAGAGCGCGACCCCCTTAACCTAACAATAACCTGGGTATCTAATCGTGTATCCGAATGTTAAGTGGCGGTACGCAATTCCGCTGCATCGTGCCCAAGATATTGTGTACCATGCAGCGTGTACCAGCCACGCTCTGCAACCCTCCCTCCACACCTTGTAAAACACCGTGAACTCCAAACATTATGTATACCCAAAGTACGAGACTGAGCTCGTATGCGAAGGCCGTGATTCGAAGAAAGACTTAAGAAGCCAAAGCCGACCTTTGAGAGTCATGGTCGCCCATCGTGCGATCCCCAGTGCCTGTCATGACGCCGTTATGACCACTCGGCGTTACTACAACAATGTCACGCCACCGCTCAAGCATCCCCATCCTCCCTTTTCCTAACCCCCGCCCTTCCAAACCTCATTTTGCCTCCTAATCGCTCTACCTCTTCGACGGCTGCATCTCGTTGCCTCTCCAACTCTTTGATGTAGTCGATGGCCACTGCCAGCACCATGCTCTTACTAGGCTTCACTGCGCCCGTATCCGTGGCATCACTCTGCGGTAACATGGGTACTGCCCGACGTAGTCGCTCTAGCTCTGCATTGAGCTTTTCGCGGTACTTGCGCTCGACTTCGGTGTGGGGCATGCATTGCGTCCGGGCGATTTTGGCGGTAGTGGTTGCGGTGGGCTCAGAGGCGGGGCGGTGGATGCGAGGCCGGCCTCGTTTGCGTGGAGCAGGCGGCTTGAGTGAGGTATCCTCGGGAGAGATGCCGTGGAGTGCGGTGGGCGATAGGGATATTGGGCTGCCGTGGCCAGTGGGCGGCGTCGGTAAGGGAGAGGGGTTGGACGGATAGCCGTTGGGGAAGTCGGTTGCAGTGTAGGCGTGTTGGAAATCGGCTGGGCAGCTCAAGGGCGTTGAGCTGTAATTCGGCCATGCGTTCAGAGGAGCTTCACCGCCTGCGCTCGTTGCACTGACAAGTGATGGTGTGCTGACGTAGCTGTTGGGTACCGGTGCACTCCAATTGACATCTCGGGCCCCTGGCGTGATGGATCGGTTGAAGCACTGGCCGCTCCTGCTGTCGTAGGTATTGAAACCATAGTCGGAAAGTGCGGGATATGACTCCGTGAGGTAAGCGTCGATTTCGTCTGGTGATGGGAAGGCATCGCTGTTGGGAGAGTACATTGGGTTATTCGCGGCCACAGGGAAGGCAGGCAGATTAGAGAAGTCCATCTGGGTGTCTGGATGCCGCGGAGTTGTGTGGGAGGGCGATTATTCCTAGTCACTCAGGTTCGGCGAAGTCTTATGGCAGTATATATTCAAGGGCTATTCGTCCTGTCGTCACTCTGTCATCAGCCTTCCCTTGGTATCCTGGCTAGTGATGGTGCCGGTGATCGGGTTGAAGCAGAATATCGAACGATCAACAGGAAACACACCGGCTTTTGCCAGCTCCCAGAGACTGCGGTAGGCTTGATTGCGCTGCGCCTAGAAGATTCCGAGCTCGGGCGCGCAGCGAAGACGGCGGAGAAGCAACCCGCTGGACCACTTGTCACACCAAAACTCAGCTCCAACCAGATCCCGGTGACAAGACTTTTTCATAGCCTTCTTGCAGCCATGATAACCGCCACTTGAATGGCCAAACTGCTGGTAATCTCGCAGCGCCCAGTTTTATCATACGATCTGCGCCGGGGTTGGGAGTCTAGAATGGTCCATTCAGTACAGTTGTAGTACGCGATGCCCGCCTCCTCACGGTGTGAGACGCAGCTGTCGTTCCCATGTTGCAGAGTGCCGTGACGTCGATGCAGGTGCTCTGCGAAGTTCGACGCGGGGAAGAAATTCTAGCCGGACAACCCTCCCACATCGAATCACAGCCAGCGAGCTGAGGCACTATACCCAATCAATTCCAGGCGGTGACATCCGGTAATACTTTTCTCAGCACCTGGATCTATTCAGCATATGGTCATCGCCGTCTGCTTTGTCCTTCCAGCAGCTTCCACTTCGCTTACCATGGGCATGCGACTTGGCAACGAGCGGGCTCGGTATGTTCCGGTTAGTAACCCTGGAGGATGTTCACGTGGCTCGATTCAGATCGAGATCAAACTGGCAGTGAATTCCAGAACAGTCGGCTCTCGTAAGGGGGCGTATGCTGGTCCTCTCGACCACTTCTGAACATCTGCAGCAGCGATGCAGTTATTATGTTCTACGGTGAACATCATGTCATCACGAAACACCTGAACCCCAAGTCACGACCAACAGGTATAGGTGCATCACCAACGCTCTTGCATTCCTATCACTTATCAACTAGCGCATCATGCGATGGATGCTTTGAGGGTTTTACGACCTCAGCTCGTCTTGGAGTGAGCAGTTGTTTCTTAGATCCTTGGCTCCTGTGCCAGGTCATACTAAACCGCTAGCGCATTCTCGAGATGTTGAAGAGCAATTAGCTGAACACCCCCTTGATCATTTGCACTGCGGAATTCATGACTGCGCAAAGCTTGATTTCTTGGCTTTCAGTTGGAACAATGTACCCTCAAAGGATTTGCAGGATTTTGTTACTGCGTGACAAACAGATGCGACACGGCGCCTTCCTGGGGATTGTCTGATTCGAATCATGGAAAACCACAAACTTTTCTGTACACAGGCCATCCCCCACTTAGGGTGGTCGCAGAGTTTTAGGTGATTACTATAAGCACAACCCTTCAATCTAGCGTACAGCCATATCCCAGTATGTCGGTTTGCTCAATATCGTAATCATATCAAATAAACTCACGTAGATGCCGAGACCAAGACTGGCGAATTTGTTGTTGAGTAGGAACCAGGGGTTGAGACTTGTTCAGATGCAGGCGGGGTGTTTGTTCTGGCGTTCATAGATCGGTTGGTTTGTTTTCTGTGGTGTCTCCGGGTTAGGTAGGAAAAGTTGTGTTCTTCCATCTCTGCAACTATCATGTTGACCTTCCATTCCTCAGAGGCAGTAAGCTGCTGGCTAGAGACTGGGACCTACAGGCAGTCTAGACCGTATAGAGGATACTGCGAGTATCTGTGCTGAGAAACCATATACCCGGACCTGTTGGTAGTGACCACAGCCTCCAAGACACTAGGTCAGACATTTCCTGCGCCGCCTGTTTCCTCACCCAGATGCTCTCTTAAGATTCGCCTGTGGCAGTGAAGTGTTGCGATGGTAGTCCAAGGCTCATGGCAGTGTACAACACTGGCGAGACCTCACACTTTCCGCCCTTTCGAAACAGGTGGTGGTGGCGGCATGATAAGCGGCCTCTTACACGCCGTGAATCCTCGTGGCGCTGGGTACTTTCTGTCCAGCCAGAGATTCCATAGCATGACCGAGGCTGTACTCGACGACCAGTACAGCATCAGTGCGGCAGGTAGATGCTGACACATGGGGCCGATCAATAGAGCCACCCAGAGTAAAGTCCTTCGAAGTATACCGGGCCACCTCCGATTTTTAGTGCTTTCGACACTATTCTTCGAGGTGTAGATGTTTGCGAACATGATGGCTGATGCAATGAATGGGAGGGCACCTGTAGGATCTGGAACAAGTAGATCCTGGAACCAGAGCACCCCCTCTGTTGCCAGCGAAGGCTCAAAATATGCAGAAGGTGTTACACGCGCAACGGTTTCCCCAAGCTCGTTCGTCATCGTTGTGCCTTCGCCTTTGACGGCTGCGACCACCATGCCTACCAGACCATCATGAGCGCCGCATTTCTGCCGTATGACTTCGGCCATGGCGATGAATATAGGTAGTTGCCCAAACGTCCACATGATTTGGCCACTTAAGCTGACCTTCCATCTCTTATCAATCGCCGACGTGACTTCCTTTATCTCTTTGCTCGCAGTTACGACACCCTGTTTTATTGTTCTGAAACCGCCGCGCTTCAATACCTCGTCACGTTTCTTGTAAGCAAGTGCTTCTCGGAGCGGTTGGAGACCAATGTATCGGGCCATAAGAGCGCGCGACCGAGTCCCGAATGTCGTAACAAGAAGACCGCGGGTGATGAAGGCGGTGATTGGTATGGCGGCATACCATGGTACGGCGGTGTGGACGAGCGACATCAGCTCATGGGGAAGGTACAGGATGGCATCGACGAGGGGATCCTGTCGCGGGGTCGAAGCGTGGAAAGCGCGAGCCGATGGTCGGCATATCGAAGATGTAGACGTGGAGGAGGTTCTCGGAAGCAATTGGCATGCTGGCTGCCGCAGGAGGCGCGACGACAGCATCTTGCCGTAGTTTTGGTGTTGCAGCTGGATATCAAAATGTCCGATTCCCGAGAGGAAGAGGCTCCAACTAGCGCGTCAGGGTCCCACGCTCTCGGGCCGGCGCCAGGAACGAACCGATGTCATCCCACCTGAACAGCTGTCGCTTTGCCCAAACATTTGCCCATGGCTGAGTGAGTCCTCGCTGTCTGCCTCTTCCACTGTGTCCCCGCCCGGCGTTGTTTCACGATGGGTCTCTTACCCATCTTCCTCTCGCTACTGCTACCCGCACTCTTGGCTACCATCTTTCTTCCTAAGACCCTGCGCTTCGCTGCGGAAATAGTGGGACAACACCTCCGACGATCCTCCCGTACACGACGAGAGTTACTACTGGCCAGGGTAGCAAGCGAGACCAAGACATTCGAGGCGCAGCAAAAGAACAAGAAGAAAGAGGACGATGACTGGGAACAGGTCGGGAATACACCTCCTGGCAGTGCAGTGAAGGATGGACCGGCGGATAGCGAATGGGACGGCATAGTGGGCTTCTTCCACCCTTTCTGGTATAGATAGCATGCTCATGGACTAAGAGTTGTCGCTGACAGGCTGTTCGTATAGCAATGCAGGAGGCGGCGGCGAACGAGTCCTTTGGGCTGCGATTCGAGCAAACCAGAAGCGCTGGCCGAAGGCTACTTGTATAGTCTACACCGGCGACCACGACGTCGACAAAGCCGCCATATTGAAGCGTGTCAAAGACCGTTTCAACATCCAGCTATACCCGCCGACCGTTCACTTCCTCTACCTCACAACCCGCGACTGGGTACTCGCAAGCACATGGCCGCGATTCACACTACTGGGCCAATCTCTCGGCTCTCTCATCCTCGCCTATGATGCCTTCAGTCTTCTCGTGCCCGACATATTCATCGACACCATGGGTTACGCCTTCGCCCTCGGCCTTTCGTCCTTCCTCTTCCCGACCGTACCGACCGGCGCATACGTACATTATCCGACCATTTCCACCGACATGCTAGACTCGCTGCAGGCTGGGGGCCAAGGCATCAATGCAGGATCAGGCGCAGGATACCGAGGCATGGCAAAGAAGAAGTACTGGCAACTCTTTGCCAAGTTATACAGTAAAGTCGGCAGCACCATTGACGTGGTAATGACCAACTCTACATGGACGCAAAGCCACATCAAGTCTCTCTGGGAACCATACCGTATCAAACGAAGCAAGGCAATCGACATCGACGTCGTCTTCCCGCCCGTCGCAGTCGAAGAAGTCATAGAGGCCGTTCCAGTCTCCGAGTCTAGCGAGAAGGACCGTGGCCCTTACCTGCTCTACATCGCGCAGTTCCGACCAGAAAAGAACCACCGACTGATCCTCGAGGCCTTTGCATCCTTCCTGCACTCCAAACCCGACCTCCCAGCGTACCCCAACGATACCCCGAAGCTCGTTCTGATAGGTTCAGTACGGAACTCGCACGACGATGCAAAGCGCGTCTACGAACTGAGGCTTCTAGCACACGAGCTGCACATCAAGGACAACGTCGAGTTTATTTGCGATGCGCCGTGGCCGCAGATGCTAGAGTGGATGCGCAAAGCCAGTGTGGGAGTGAACGCCATGTGGAACGAGCATTTCGGAATCGGAGTGGTGGAATACCAAGCCGCTGGCATGATCTCTGTAGTCAACAACTCCGGTGGACCCAAGCTGGATATCGTGATTGAGGTCGACGGAAAACCTACCGGTAAGTCGAAAGCACCTCGTAATACCATATCCAGAACACTACTAACCTTTCACCAGGCTTCCATGCCACAACCGCAGAGCAATACGCCGACGGCTTCCGCAAAGCCCTCACACTTTCCCCCGAAGACACACTGGACATGCGACAGCGGGCTCGCCGGTCAGCGGAGCGCTTTACCGATCAAGTATTCGCCGAGAGGTGGCTGAAGAACACGGAGAAGCTCGTTGCCCTGCAAATCGAGCGCACAGCAAAATAAGGAGCGATTCACAAGACTGGGAGCATGGCGTTATACTGGGAATTTTCGATACCACACGTGAGCGTTGGGGCGGTTGCATACCACTTAGGAGTCTAGCATCCGATATGAATTCAACTTCTTGCTATCTGTATGTCACGGAGTACGCGGGTAGAAGTGATGAGTGATTTGCACATGTGCTGGCTGAGCTTTGTTGTATTCTGTCCCTTCTTTAGGGGGTTATAGCTACGTAAAGATATTCAAGTGGATGTAAACATCCCTATCCAGGAGTCCTTAACGCAAGTTCGATCCGACCGATCCAAACAGGTCGTCATCCTTACTAGCATAGCTTTTCGTAAAACGAGCATTAAGCGGCTAAAAGCCAATCGGTGAATGAATACAGCGCAAACAGCATGATAGCAGCAGAAGAGGAAGAATCAAAGTGGCGGGACCAGCCAAGCCAAACCAAGAATGCAAATAATGAAGCCAGATCAGAATCGCTCGAGTTCCTGGAAGCGCTCAACAGGGTCGGCGAAAGACCGCGTCAAGCCGACTGATGCCCAAAAGTCGTCACTGACATCTTCCCTGCGCGCGAGACGCTCCAGCAACGACCGCGCATCACGGAGCTCCTGATCGAGTGGTGGCGGTTGCGGCGATTCCGCGGGTATGAGTGGAGGCATACCCTCGTAGTCGTTGGCGCTCACGGGTTCCTCTGCTGGTCCGTCGAGCTGGGGGATTTGCGGTCTCTGCGGCGCTTCCGTGTCGGCATCCCGCCAGATGCCAGAGTTGTAGAAGCTGTGAACGACCTCGCTGGCGTCGCGGGATCGGTCGATTACGCGGAGTCCGTAGCGTTCTGTATCCCGCGCAGGAGGTTCGCTGGAGAAGTACGATGGGCGCATTCTTCGGCGAGGGGCGGTCGAGTCTGAGATATTCAAGCGATTCCTGCGGGCCTCTGTGCCGGTACGACGGCGTATGCTGCCGCGTACGTCCATCTCTTCTTCTTCGGTGTCGGAGGCTGAGTCGTCCTCCGAGGTATCGCATGCCCGCATGAATTGCTCGTTTTGTGGAGGGGAAGGACGTCGTGATGGCACTGTAAGGTGGGTTTGCGACGATACGGCCGAGTTGGCACTTCCTGCTCGTGAGCTGGGATGCGAATTTGTAAATGAGGCTGCCGCTGCGGCTGATGCGAATGATGACCCCGCACTTGGCGCGACGGGGTCGTCCACGACGGTGGTGAGGAAGCTGTCCCATTGCAACTGATCTTCAAAAGGACTGACGCTGCGATTCCGGTCGCCTAAGCCATCCAGCGCACCAGCTGGACTCCAGGACTCGCGCAGAGAGCTGGCAGGTAGCGGTCCGTCAGCAATGGTGCGGCGACCCATTCTACGCAGCGGAGGGAATGCCACAGCGTGGTTCTCGCCTGTTTCGTGGCTCTCCTCAGGCGCATTCGCACTATCATCTCGCGTCGATCGATCAGCACGGGGGCTCTGAGAACGCGTTGATCGTCTGGTAGCGCGACGGTATGATCTATATTCGCGCATGGCTGCAAATGGATCTTGCGCATCGCGTTGTGCCTCCGTTTCGGACGTCCGCGACGCTGCCGCTGGCGCAAATCCCGGGGTGAAAGCGGGCAGGGGGCGGTCATGGTCGGGTGTGGCGCGCGTCTCGTACGCGCGCATGTAGCCATCTAGGCGATTGCGCGACCGGCGCACGCTGCTCTCGTCGCGTTGTAGAGTAGGTGGGTGTCTGGAAGGCTCGTTGCTGCGGTATTCGGTCCTCGACACTTCGGGGACGGGTGGCGGTGCCAGACGCGCGCGATGCGACGAGCGAGGAATCCATTCAATATGCGGACCGGAGATGAGGAAATCCGTGTCGAGGGCGCCGTGAGGGCGCGGTGACCTGTTGGGTCTGACGCGGCGGCGGATGGGTGAGCGTGAGCCGGCAATGTCAGCCCTCAGTGCGTCTTTCTTCGCGTCTTCTTCGCGATTAATGTTCCATCCGATCGGGATACCCATGGCGCCAAATGTGTGATCTGCTTCGTTCCAAAAAAGATGGGTGAGGTGCGGTGTTGATGGTGACGCGCCGGATGATGCTAATGGGATGGGTCGGAGAAGGAACTAGGGCGGCAGAGCGGCGCACGTCGCAGCCGCCTTAACCAGGACAGTGAGGCTGAAGGGTCCGGGGGAGGCGCAGAACTTCAAGCGGGATGACAGCGCTGGCACTTGTCTCCCAACATTCATATAGCAAACGTCTTTAGTCTAGATTATCACCTCTGGATAGCTTGTCTCAGCTTCACTTTACTGTGTATCGCAGTTCGATGTTCCCACAGCAAACGACCCATCGTCTTCGCCAGGCGCGACCGCGATCGCCAAGCCTCAGTTACCCAATGCAGCAAGGTCGCACCTGTCCGCAGCTTTTGGTCCACTCGCCCCAATGAGTCAACTTAACCTGCAGGTACATCGTTTCAGAACATTCCGCGTCTGCCTGGATCCATAGTTGCCTATGCTACTGTAAACTACTCGTCTCGTGGTCATGATCCAGCCTGGCTTGGAACGGATCAGTCTGCTTCTGAAGAATGTCCACTTTCCGTGGAAATCGATACATGTCGCTGGCACCAACGGCAAAGGATCCATTTGCCACTATGCCTCGAGGCTCCTTTCCAAGCGACTCACAATTGGCAAATTCACATCTCCACATCTCATAGACAGGTAGGCACGCTGTCACGTGAGCTGGTTCTCATCTAACTTTTCCAGATGGGACTGTATAAGCATCAACCATAAGCCCGTGGAAGAGGCGCTCTTTCGCAAGATCGAGAAGCACTACCTGGACCTGAGTATAAGAGATGGCATCAGTGCTTCAAATTTCGAAATATTGACCGCCACTGCTTTCCACATCTTCAATGAAGCCAAAATAGACATCGGCATCGTTGAAGTGGGCATGGGCGGAAAGCTCGACGCTACCAATATATTGAACAACCAAGCGGTTTCAGTCATTGCAAAGATAGCACGAGACCACGAAGGCTTTTTAGGTGATACCCTAGAAGAGATCGCACTCCACAAAGCTGGCATCCTCAGGCCGGATGTGCCCTACCTTGTCAATCCTAAAAATGAGGGAAACGTCGTAGAGGTCATTGAGGAACATGCTCGCAGCATTGGGGCAGGACCTTGTTTGGAATATGACCCCCCGGGTTTTTCGAAGATGCTGTTTGCGAACGAAGACCGGCCACCAAAACCGACCGATCAACGAGAAAATATTGTCCTCGCAGCGAGGGCTACGATGGCAGCAATGGAGAGTCTCGGCAAAGAGATGAAACCGTTTGTGATGCAACAAACCTTGCACGGCGCAAGGAACATTCCATACCCAGGACGACTAGAGCCGGTTCGAGTACCGCCTATCTTTGGTGTGCCAAGCACGGATGGCACGACTGGAGTTGGTCAAAAAGGAGAGTTTATCCTGGTAGACGGAGCTCATAACGCCGACGCTGCCACACTGCTGAGTGGCCACGTCGGACGGAATTTGCGGGCAAGGAAGAAGGTTCCTGGTGTTCAAAGGCCACGCAAGGGATGGCCTATCACATGGGTACTTGCAATGACCGATGGGAAAGATGCACATAAGTTCCTGAGAAACATACTACACCGAGGAGACAATGTCGTCACTACATCCTTTGGTCCGGTGGACGGTATGCCTTGGGTGAAACCAATGCATCCAAAACGACTCCTCGCCATAGCAAAATCGATCGAGCCCACTATCACAGGGCTAGCTGTGGAAGAAGGCGGGCCGCTCCGAGCGCTTTGTACAGCAAAATACCTTCGAGAACCCGAAGGACCGATCGTCCTGACAGGTAGTCTGTACCTTGTGGGTGACCTCCATCGCGATTTGCGGGCGAATTATGGAAAGGACTACTGGAATAGACCACATTTTGAGGAGACCAGGAAGAAGTTTGCAGCGATGCTAGAGGAGGAGAAGCACAGAGCCAACCGGCTGCTCGGCGGACCCATCGATTCCTTTGATCAACCTCTTCATCTCAATGCCGGAAAAGGCAAAGAGAGCGATGAATGGAAAAGGCAGCAGGCGAACCGCGAAAAGCGGAGGGTCATGCAAGAAGAGATCGAGGCTCTTGACCGAGAAATGGAACTTCTCACAGCCGAAGAGCAGCGTCTCACAAAAGGGCGCACACCGGCTACAAATAACGACACACCGGCTACAGATAAGGGATCAAATCCACCCCGTATCCACAACCCAGCAATAACTTTGTTAGAGGAAGGCGCACCCCTTCCCAGCAAATACAAGACGAAGACCCTTGAAACCGGGGCAAAGATCAGATATCACAAAACAGTGTCGTCGTCACTGGATGAGGAAAAACGGGTGGAGCCTTCTCCTCCTATATATAGGGCACCCCTCAAGGCCGACTCATACAGCCCGACTACCTTGGATAATGGCGGAAAGATAAGATTTCACAAAGTAGAGTAAGTGGCTCAGCCGACAGTAGCGAATGGCGCACCGAAACTGACCAGTGAATAGGAGCAGGAGTGGCACGCTGGTGGTCAACTTGGGTCACTGTCGGGAGTAGACATTTGATCGGCGCTTCGAGGTCGAAATTCAAACCTGTACGATATGATTGTGTATGAATGTTGCGGTAGTAGTGGATTGCAGTTCGATGGTAACGTGGTATGTGCATGAGGACACCACTGTGCAAATGTCATTATATCTTCTAGGTTCTTCATGTGTATACTATTGTCGAACTTATCCTGAGGGTTTCTAGTGCATTGCACAAGTAAAAGTGCTTCAGTCCCTATCGTACGCTCTTGACTCCAAGCTCTGTCCCAAAGAGCACAAGAGCGCATGTGCAGAAGCAAGCAGCCGCTCTCTGGCGATACAGCATCTAGCGGTCACAGATCTAATCAGCTCCCAAACCCCACTTTTAACTAGTGAAACTACCGCATGCGGCATCTTTGGCAGTAAAACCGTGGATTATGGCGATCTCTTGGCACAGCGAAACGTCGCGATCAGTTCTGAGAGGGCGC